GGCCCATTACAGATGAGGTACTTAAATTGCACAATCTTTTTGAAACATGTTAAACATATAAATTCATCTCAGAGAAATAAATGTGAAATTAAAAAGAAAATATATACAAAAAAACTGAATTAAAGAATTTTTTTTTCCTCTTATTTTCTAATCTTCATACACTTGGAACTTAAAATACAAACTAGAAGTAAATACAATTTTATATAGAATAACCAATAATTATTTATACGCACACACACACATCTCTCTCTCTATATATAGGTAGAGAGAGAGAGAGAGTTAAGTTATCTAAAAAAAAAATTCTGCAATCAGAGAATTACAGATTACAGTATAATATTTGAAACAAGAGTTTACCTTTAAACTCTTGTTTCAGATATTATACTGTAATCTGTAATTTCCTGATTGTAAAAATATATTAAAAAATAAATATTTTTCATCTTGCTTCTTAAATAAAAAATAATACATGCTGTTGTTAGCTCATAAGCCTAAATCTTTACATTACAATAAAATTAAACTCAACTCAAAATGATTTTTCAGTTTTAAAAACTCCGGTTCAGCATCTTGCTTTTTTGAACATAAATTGATGTAAAAAAATCATTATTAAAAAATACACACACACACACACACATATATATATACATCACGCCAGTTTAACTTAATATATTGTTGCGTGCGTACGGGTTCGTTATGAAATGAATGCACAAGTCCGATGAAAAATGAACAAAAAATTATTATTATCACAACAGAAATGCTTAAATTTCCTCAAATTATCATGCAGTATTACAATATCTCACAGTAGTTATCTTTTAACTACTCAAATGTACAATAGAACGTAATTCAAAACAGCTAAAGAACGCTAATCCGCGAATTCGCTATAATCAACAACAGTAGTTTTCTAAACAACAACAAACTAAGCAACTACTACAAACTGAGATGTTTTCCTCCTTTTATAAGATTTTAAAATCACGCGCTAGAATTTTCCAGTACTTTCTCGAAATCAAAAAGAGATATTTATTTATTTAATGCACGCGCTCTTGTATTTTTCAATTTTTTCCGGCTTAGCTTTCTTTTAATATTCGTCACGCGCTGCACTGCGCGAGAAATAAAACCATTTAATTTATAATTGAACTAACATTAGCTTTTTAAATACCAAATTCGTAACACTGCCCCCTTCCCAAGGACTGCACGTCCCGGGCAGTACAATCCCTGGACAGGAAGCTAAACTTACAACTGTGGCATAAATGCAAATAATAAGCATTACATTACAATAATCAAACAACATGAACAATAAATGCAATAAATAAAACAAATCAAATGCTATCAAATACTAAATATAAAACAAATACTAAATACAAATCAAATACTAAATGCAAATCAAATACTAAATACAAATCAAATCAAATACACATTTATAAACAAAAAGGACCATGGTCTGATACTATTTACAATTATTTACATTACGTACTATGGCCATAGTAATAAGCTAACCTGTCGTAAGAGTTCGAAGACTCACGGATCCGAACCACGACGTCATTCGTGTTCAGCACTGTATATGGACCATCCGAAGGTGACTGTAATTTAGGACTCAGTCCTTTTCGTTGAATCGGGTTCCACAACCACACCTTGTCTCCTTTGTTGGATCTATGTCTAGTAGCTCTGTGTCGCATCTGGTCTTCATTTTCTCCGTCGCCAAGTTGACTCGCTTTCGTGCAGAACGGTGCATCCCCTCAAACCGGGCCTGGGCATCTTGGATGTGTTCCTCAGGCGATGAAGGCGCATCCGTAGGGCGACTAAACAGGCGGTCACAAGGCAGACGAAGGTCTCGCCCGAAGAGCTTCTGGGATGGAGAATAGCTGGTAGTCTTGCGTTTCTTTTCTTTTCGACCCTGGTATGATTTCGGCAGCTTCCCGAGCTCGATCTTTCGGACAAGGCGTCGACATTTCCAGGCGAGGATCCCTTTTGAGGATGGATAGTCATGCCATCAGATGCTGAAAGCAGCTTATTGTTTTTGAAATCTAAGGAAAAATTGTATTTCCTTAAAAAGTCCAATCCGAGTATGCATGGATCTGTAATATCCGCCACATATGCCGTGTGATGGTAGGCGGCACTTCCAAACGTGATGTTTACGTTTACGTTTAACTTCCCAGTTATGTCGATCTTGTCACCAGACGCAGTCTGAAGGGTAACACAGGATGGCGTCCAAATAAGTTTATCTTTAAACTGTTCAGCTAAATCTTTCCTAATGATGGTAACATTAGCTCCTGTGTCAATGATCATATTGCAAGGAACTCCATCGATATTCCCATTGATGGACAGTCCGTTACTGTTGCCACTCACTGTATAGAATTTTAAGCGCTTTAAAACAAGGTTTTTCATTATCTGGCAACCTCCGTTCCTCGATATGGTCACTAATTTGTTTCTTTTACTGCGTCGTTGCTTGGAAATGGTCTTATTTTCCGTACCTCGGGGTGTTCTGCAGTTTCTTCGTACGTGGCCTTCAACTCCGCAGTTCCAGCACTTTAGAACTAGTTTCTTTTCACTTCTGTTCCGTCTCAAGCCACTGACTTGTCTGTTAAAATCATCTGCTTTATATTCCGTACCCTGGGGTGTTCTGCAATTCCGTCTTAGGTGACCTTCACTGAACCACATCTCCAACACCTTACAGCCACTTTCTTCTCACTGCTACTCCGTATCAAATCAAAGCATCGACTTGTCTGGATAAATCATCTAAACGAGCCATCAATTGGATCCCTGGGCTCGTGGACTCGCACAGCTCTGACTGGGTAGCGATCTCTAGAGTTGCTTGCTGGGCTGCCTCGAATTTCATGGCGTACAACAGAGCGCTTTTTATGATCCTTTACATCTGCCATTCGCAGAGCTTTCTGTATTTCAGGATCCCGGATGCCATCGATGAAATATTGCAGCGACAGGATTTCCCTTGTTTCTGTCGGGCACTCCGAAAAGGCGTGATGTGACAGCCTTTCAACATCCGTGGCGAGCTCCTGAAGCGTTTCGGTGGAGCTTCTGTTGACGAGATTTTAATTGGAAGCCTGCTGTAGTCTTTTAAAAACATTTCTCGCCGAAGCGCAGCTCCAAAGCGCCGGATAGAGCTTCGAAATCTAGCCTTTTATTTTCGGGAAGCGTCTGCAGGATATCCGCTGCGTCTGCTCTTAGAGAAGCGGCGAGATGACAGGCCTTAGCTTGGGAATCCCATCCATTCGCATCATCCGCAACGATAGAAAATTGTGTCTTATACACCTGCCAGGAGGTCTTCCCATCATATGTAGATAGCTTCAGAACGGAACGAGCAGGCATCGATAAAAATTTGAAACCTTCAGAATTGTTTCCTGCCGTCGCTATGCACTTCTTTAAGGCTGTCAACTTCTTTGGCGACGGCAGCAGAAACCCTTATCATCAATTTGTTGTTCGACGGCAGAAACTCTCTCTTCTATATGTTCTTTTACAGAAGAAATTCTTTCTTCTCTTCTACTTGTTCTTTTACCGAAGAAACTCTTTCTTCTATTGTTTTCCAACTTTAGTTTTCAATCGTGTCTATTCTGCCTTCCATAGCCTCAAATTTATTTTCTATTACGCAGGTAATTTCTCTTTTCATTTCGTCCTGACCTGCTTTCATCTCATTTTTAAGAGATTTCATCTCTTCCTTAACGGATTCCTGGGCCCAATTTCATTTCTTTTTCTTCCTTAAATGCAGCAAAGGCTGATATCAGCTGTCTTAACTGCTCTTCCATCGCTCTTGTGATTGGCATTCAAACCCCACTCCTGACACCAAAAATTGTTGCGTGCGTACGGGTTCGTTATGAAATGAATGCACAAGTCCGATGAAAAATGAACAAAAATTTATTATTATCACAACAAAAATGCTTAAATTTTCTCAAATTATCATGCAGTATTACAATATCTCACAGTAGTTATCTTTTAACTACTCAAATGTACAATAGAACGTAATTCAAAACAGCTAAAGAACGCTAATCCGCGAATTCGCTATAATCAACAACAGCAGTTTTCTAAACAACAACAAACTAAGCAACTACTACAAACTGAGATGTTTTCCTCCTTTTATAAGATTTTAAAATCACACGCTAGAATTTTCCAGTACTTTCTCGAAATCAAAAAGAGATATTTATTTATTTAATGCAAGCGCTCTTGTATTTTCAATTTTCCGGCTTAGCTTTCTTTTAATATTCGTCACGCGCTGCACTGCGCGAGAAATAAAACCATTTAATTTGTAATTGAACTAACATTAGCTTTTTAAATACCAAATTCGTAACAATATAAAGAGGCTTGTAAGTTATATGTTGCAGCAAAAGTTCATCATAATCCTATTTTACTTTGGATGGAGATGATAACACTAGAGTTAGAAATTTTGCAATCAACCATTTGTAGGATGCTAGAAATTAATTTTATTTTTGAACTTGTGATCTAAAAAACAATTATTGCAAAATACTGCTAAAAAATCCACACAAAATTATCTTTTAAGTGATTAACTTATGTTGTAACAAATGCGATTTTATAATGCTGAAGAGAAACAAAATATCTTATACATCAACAATTGGCAAGCATGTGTATTCAATGTGGACATGATTTTATAGCAAACTAAAAACAATAAATACATTAATGAGGTTTTTTTCACAATGTTTAAAATGCATTTTTTACAGTTTAGTAAAATATTCTACTAACGCATTCAGATATAATAATAATAATAATATAATAATTTAAAAAAAAAAAAAAAAAAAAAAAAACACTTTCAGCTAAATATAAAAACCTCTTTTTAAACACTAAATTTGCACACACTTATTAATATTTATTAGTTTACAAAATACTTCACAATAATATAAACTTGAAAATTATGTTATAAGTGCTTAATTTATGTTTATTATAATACAGTCTGTTAAAAACATTTATTGAAGATTTCATGATAAATGGGTCATGGAAATCAAAAATAATATAAAAAGTAAAATACATTGAGATTTAAATTTTACCTTAAGAAATAACTGCTTGAGACATAGAGCAGCCATTTTTCTGCATTTTGCAGATTCGTCATTAACTAATCTAGCAGCAAGAGGTACCATAAAGAGAGCTGAATGTTTCTTTACTGTAGCCTGTAATTCACAAATTTATAACAATAAAAAATGCATGCACATATTTCATCCAAAATATATAAATTGCTCATGAAGAGTTAATTTAAAGTTATCAAAGGTTAAAGCTAAAATAAAAGACAGCTGAATTTTGAACATGGTTTTGAACTATGCAATTTTATTTATATATGGATTTTTGCCTATACATATATTCAGAATTCTGAATGGAAAATAGCAATATTTAGTTGAAAAACTTGCAAACAAACTGCATAACTAAAAAATGTTAAACAATGGGTGGGTCATAAATGCATGAAGTATACATATATTTTATCACTTATCACTATAAAATATAGATAAAGCTATTATGTATAATATCTACAATATTTTTACAACATAGTAGATGATATAACATATGTACAGCCAGATGATTCCTCATCAAATCGACAGTGAAAACTTACATCCATAAATATACTACAGTGTACATATTGTGAATGGGATTTTTCCCTATGATATCCTTAGTTTTCTTTAGTTTTAGATTTCCTCTACCTATTGCAAGAATATAGTCTGCAATATAAAAAATATGCCATAATCCAATGTTTATACTACATGCTTATCAACCGTTTTGCATATAAATAACTAAACAAAAATTATTTGCACCTCAACAATGATTTTATCAAGATTCAGTGACTATAAAACTATTAGATCTTTTAATACAGCTAAATAAATTAAAAAAGGTCAGTACAAGAGAAGAATGTAATGGATAAATATAATTTTTTTTTGAGAAAGTAAGGTATTTTTTTTTTTTTTTTTTTTTTTTTGTTTGTTTTTTGTAAAAATACACTGAAGTACTTGTTCATAAACTGTTTATTCACCGTTGAAATTACTTTAAAGTAATTTTTATGCTCTAAAACAAGAAGATAAATAAAAAATAACTCTTTAGAGAAACCTTAGCAAAATTATTTGTTTAAATTGAATATTAATACTAATTCTATCATCATATTCCATGCATGTACAAAACTTTACAAAAAGACGTAGAATTGAAATTTAGTGTTGTTTAAAAGAAATTAAATACTCTCTGCTCTTTGGGTCCCCTTTCCTTTACCACAACTTACATTTTTAATATCAGAAAAGTCTCCACAATTAATTTTAGACTATATCCTTATTTGTCACCAAAGTAAATAAGCTTGCTTGTTATGCAGAAAATAAACAGAGAGGCTACAGACAGCATTTAAGTTAGAAAAGTTGTGGATGAATACATCTTTCATACATATTAATTACATACACTAAAAATTAATTTAAAATGGCAGTGAAATATGCATCCAAAAATAGTTTCTCTAAAAAAAATTGTGAAAAGATTGTACTGAAATGTGTACATAAAATGCAAAATAATATCAACAATAAAACAAATTTCCTTTGTCTACGAAAATGTATTATAAATGTAATGCACTTCCATAAAAAGCATACAGCACAAGAAAAAATGCATAGCAATAATATTTACCATGTTGGATTTTCTGAAAATCAAAATTTTATTTATTTACAACCAAAAAATGAATGTGAACGATACAACATTACAGATTATCAATCAGTAAGGTTTCTGATCAAGTTAAACCATATTCATATGACAGTGAATAGGTTGGCTGCATGCAGTGTTCTCATGGTATTACTCTTGTATCTGTATAATGTGAATATGTGACAGTTTCTCTTAAGTTCTCAATTAACCATTAAACTATATAAGCATATGCTTAGGGCATCAAGGAAAGGGGGACACCACAGAAAGGTCCTCAGGTATCAAGAACGAGGGCATCGAAAAATCTCTCATTGCCAGTTTTACCATGGAATGCAGATCCACCTGAACTAAAACCATGAAAGAATGAAGAGAAAACTGGCCTAAGCATATGTGCGCAAACCAAAATTTTTTAAACACTTAGTGCCTCTCAAGGTCTTAATCTGGCTCTGTCAGCACTTTTAACTCCATGCATTATTCAAGGGTCAAATATCCTTGCATGAAACCAAGAAGTAAAAATAAAAGTATGCTTAGCAGCAATATTTATATCAATAATTGAGAAAAATAACTTCAAACTAAAAACTATAAGAAAGTTTTGAACACAGTTTGAAATGATATTCATGAAAAAGAAATATTTTACAGAAAAGACAGTTGAAATTAAATGGGGGTTATGAAATTCTATTTTAATTTAAGCTATATTTTTGCAGAAATATAACAAATTTTGAATCACATTTGAAACAGAGAAAAGACAAAAAGATATATTATTCACAATATACATTACAATGAGTAAAATGCTATTTTGAACATATGTATTTATTATTTAATTAAAATATTTTGAAATTATTTCACATACAGCAGAAATAAAAATTTCATTACTGGAAACAATGTAATATTTGAATAAATAAAGACAAGTTTAGGAAACTTAATTTATAAACAATCTTGGAAAAAAAAAAAAAAAAAAAAAAAAAAAAAAAAAAAAAAAATGCTTACTTCTGGAAAGGAGTCTAACATTGAATTTATCATTTCAAATGCAGAAATTCTGCCATGCTCATGCAGGTATTCTAATTGAGCAATAAAAAATGAAATAGTCTTCACTAACTGTTTGCCAAGAGGATAGTCCAAAATATACTGCAGGCAAGTCTAAATTTCAAAAGAATTATGCAAAATTAATAACATTTTATATAAAAACATGGAAAAAAGAAAACTTATATTTCTGCATGTAATTAGCCCCCCCCCCCAAAAAAAAAATTCACAAAAGGATTTTTTTTTCCAAAGGAATAATATTCATGTAAAACAGTTTTAATATTGAAGAATTGATAACTGAAATAGAAGGCTAAAATATGCTCTATTTAGACATTTAACCCAACAAGTAGAAAATAGAACAATGCAATAATATGACATACTAAATTTTTAGTGAGAAATGATTATATAAAATTAAATCATTTTTCTAGGAAGGGAAAGATGAAATGAATAACTTGATTCCGATTAATATGAATCATATAATATTCAAGAATCAACAGTAGAAGGAAAAGCTGCAGAAGCAGATTTAGAGGAAATAGCATCTGAACTAAACCAAATCAATTTAGAAAATGACAGAACAAAATAAAAGATTTTTAGTTTATCTTCGAAACATACAAGATGACACAATTTAAAATATTACATAAACATAGATAAACTTTTGAAATGCACATACTTTTATTGAAAGATACAAGACAGGCAATTGAAATCTATGAAAGGGACTATGAAATTTATGATGATCAGCTAAAATAAAAGAATAAAAATAAAAACAAGCTTTTAATTTAATTTAAAATAGTTGGAAATACAGCCTATTGTTAAAAGTAACATGACAGATAAAACTATGATTCAAACAGCTCTGACTGTGAACATAGATTGTTCAGTTTCACAAATAATCTGAAACTTTTGTATTCCATGGTAAGAGTACGGTAAGTATACACAAATAGTGGAAAAAGTAATTGGGTAAATTGTAAAGGACAAATGGCCTTGAATGATCATAATCTTTGTAAATTTAACTATATTATACATTCCAGTGATAGAAAACTAACTCAAGCTGAATGAAAGTTGCAGCCAGACAATCAGTAGATGCAATGTGCAGTGTTTGTTTCATCAGATCAATTTCAGAAGCTGAAGACTCACAATAACACCACTTCTCACTCATGCCACCACAGTCATCTTACATGGGCCACAGAACATCATGACTAGAATATCATTGATTTAAACTGAATAGCATGGAGCAATGAATCTCAATTCTAACTTTAACCTGAATGGAAATAAAGTATACCAGCAGGACAACTGCTCCTAGCTGTGACTTGGTCTCAGAACCATAGCACTGAATTCTCTGTGCTGAAATGACCAATGAGACACCTAGACTTTAATTCCATTGAACATTTTTGGAATACTAAAGAAGAGATGTATAAGCACATTATCCACTGTCAGCATCAACTGATCTACAGGACATTCTAAAAGACATTTGGCAGGCCAAAATTCGGCATAACTTTGGAACATTTCTATAGACGTACTGATCTTCCACCTCATCATTTGGTAACCATTACCAGAACTAAAGAAGCATGAATTTATTACTAATCAAGTATCTCTAATTTAATGGCATTTCAAGCGTATTCAATATCAATACATTTATACTTGCTTTTGACAAATATAACAATTTTCCTTGAAGAAAACAGTACATTTTCAATTCATTCGGACTTATTTCTTTTCTCATGCTTCTGGCTCAATGCCAAAGTTTTCCCTTAAACTCCCCCTTTACTCTACCAAATATTTGCTAGTAATTGTTTTCGCTTGATTTCTGTTGGTTTCACCCCTGAAACCATGTTAAAAAAATTACAAAATAAATAAATAAATAAAGAGATAATTTTACATCTTGCTTTTTAGAAAATTAAACAAACTATGCAAAGTTCAAATTAAAAAATGATAGTAATTAATAAATATAGCATTGAAAAAAATCACATAAGACCAAAAAAGCAAGCATAAATTTAAACATGGCATTTATGATAGCAAAGAACATTTTTCCTTTGGAATGCCTGTGAATGCGACATGAAATCAATTAAAATAAGACTCTTCAATGTTGGTGGGCAGAACTTCTTTTGCACTTATTGCAAAATTTTGCACTATAAAATAAGCACCTTAACAGTTGGGATATGACACTTAGTGGCTGGATGAATGGAATGAAATGACATGAATAATGTATAAAGAAAATTCCATATCCCAATTGCAATAAAAACTATAACGCAACTGTGATTAGATGAAAAATGCTATTGCATGAGTGATGGCCATAAAGACGATTACATGCCAGGAAAGTAGCTAAACCAAACTGGTGTTGCTTGGAGTAAAGGAAATGTGCTAAACCAAACAAACCAACAAATATCAGAAAAGGGGTATAATTAGTATAGCTTTAACAGAAAAGTACCTAATTCTTTTTCATAAAATGCTTCTTTTAAAGGCTAATAATGGTAGTAAAGAAAAACGCAATGGTAGCATAATACATAATTATTTTTTCATTACTTACTTATGGAAAACAAATTACATACATAAATGTTTAAAAGCCATTTCTTACCTGCCTACACTGTGTCCTTACATAATCTTGTTCTGCAGTAATAGACATTTCAGCAATTTTAATCATTATTCCTCTCAGTACTGGAGCTTCTAATTTTTTTGATAAAATTGCCTGAAATTGAAAATTTTTTCCCCCATTTAACATTTATTTGATCCATAACATTGATATCAGTTTATATAATAATAACAAAATAATGTTATTGTTCAAGAAATCTGATGTACTCAAAAGAAATGAGGCACAGCAAAATTTCAGTTAACCAGACTGCAATACTAACACTAGCTTATAACAAATAGAAATCACGTTCTTTAAAAAATATAGATTACATCTGCATTTTCAAAGAACATGTTTCAGAGAATATATGGAGACTGAATAAACAATACACTACTCAGTGTAATCAAAATTTAACTCAAATAACTTGAGTTTTAATAACATTTACACTGCAGTCTTAATAATAGTAACAATAATAATAATAATAATAATAAAAAGGAGATGGATAGATCCATTTTGAAGGGAAATGCAGTAAAATTATTCATTACATACACATATATGCAAACTTCATTAGAACAGAAATCAGAAGATTTTTGAAAAAACAAAATTGTAGGAGAAAAAGTAATATATATTTTACAAGAAAAATTCACAAATTTCAAATATTTTGAGGAAAAAAAAAATTAATACATTTACAATTGATTTTTTTTTTTTTTGTTTTGTTTTAGCTGAAAAGTAATCTCAAAATTGTGCTTTATACCACACAGCGTGTGTATATAGTTTTAGAATGTTTTTAATAATAATAATAATAATAATAATAAAAGGGGGCAAATGTTTTGGAATAAAAATTTCTGACAACAGCTTACTATTTGAAATGTGGAACATCATCTGCTACTTCATATTTATTTTCCTTTCAAAATGACACATGTAAACAAGCTGTGGATTGAGGGATATGTTTGCATGCTTTCTGATTTCTAATTTTTCAAAAGTTGCATTGTTGGTAAGAGAATATCTACTGATGCAGAAATCAGTCACAATATCTTTAATGCATGTTTAGTAACAATAAGTAAAATAGTAAAAAGCTAAAAAACATAATGTTCACCAGCTTTTGCTGAGGCATGTGCCTCAAAGCAGAATAATTTGTAGAATCCCACATGAAAACTACATATAGGGTTCTACAAATTAGTCTGTATAAAAAGGAAATATATTTTCATACAGGTTCAAAGTCCCATATGAAACAGAAATACATTGTGACCCTTGATGCTTAGGTAAGCATAAGCTTACTTAAATGACAGTAACAAAAAAATTTATAATCGAAAATGAAGAGAAGTTTACAAACCTGATTCCATCAATGCAAAGAAAGTTTCCATAAGGGGTTTATGATTATTGCAGGAACCTCTTACAATAAATTAAAAATAAGAAGTACGGTAAAAAATTGTTAAAATCCACTTAATGTGCTATCCAAAAGAAACATTTTACATCTGATATTTATAGAAAAAATTCCATTTCTTTACCACAGTGCTTTCAAAGAATGAAACTTTATCAAGAAAAAGCAATGTGTCACACTTCAAAAAGTACTGCTTGTAAGCACGAGTGTAAATTATTTATTATTATTAGACAAAATATCTATTGAGAAAATGGCAACTGCTAATTTCTGGATGTTGTTCCATTTTATAATTTTAAAAAGATAATGAGATGATGTATGCTTGAATTGTTAATGGTACGATGCAGTAAGTATGTTTTGTTATGTTATGTACGTTTACGAATACATTACGTGTAGGTTATTAAGATTTATCTTTAAATAAATGTTTGTCTTTTACAACCATTTTATGAGTGATTAATTTAATTACAAAAGGAAGTTAACATAAATCAGAAGCGGGATTATTCTGAAACCTAAGCCTAAAGCTACAAGAATTTGCTATACGTAAATAAATTGAAAAGAATTTGAATTTCAAGGTATGTACATTGATTGATGTAACATATTTATTATAGAATTTAATTCTGTTATTTTTTTTATCATTTTGGAAAGAGAGTTTATTTTTTTTTCATTTCTTTAAATTTTGAAATATATTTAGAACATCAAACAAACTTATAAAATACAATAACTGTGTTCTACTAAGTTGTCTAATTGGAAGTTAATAATAATAGCATATATATATAATTTGCATTTTAATGAGTACGAAAATGTCTATTTTCGGTAAGGCAAAGAAATGCGATTTAAGAATATTAGCTGAAGAATTGGGAGAAGATGTAAATGAGAGTCATAAAATGAGCGATTTGAAAAAGATAATTTTGGCTAGCAAAGAGTACGATGAAGAATGCGCCAAGGAATGGTTAAACATTATAATAAATGAAAGAAAAGAAAAAGAAGAAACTGGAGAATGAAAATGTCAAGATGATGAACATAGACGAAGAGAAGAATATGAGGGACGAAAACGAAAGTATGAAATGGAATTTGAACTGTAAAAACTACGTATTGAAGCAGAAAGTAGATCTACAAATTCTGGCACCAATGAAAATGCTAGTGGTGCACACATGAATCCAAAGTTAGAGCTTCATCGTTTGATGCAAAAATTTAAACCCGACGAGAATGATATCAGTTTATATCTAATCATGTTTGAACGTTTGGCGAAACAAGTTGAAGTACCAGAAAATACATGGGTTACTCATTTGTTTGGCTTATTGCCGTATGATATTGCTCATTTAATCGCCAGAGAAACCGATGAGATTGCAAACGATTATAAAGAAGTTAAAAAGGATCTTATTAAAACGGTAAAAGATGACACCTGAAAAATTTCGTCAAAAATTTTTTACGCACAATAAGAGTGTAGGAAACACATGGAAGAATTTTGCGTATGAGTTAAAAAAATTTTTTAATGAATGGATAAGCGGAGTTAAAGTAGATACTTCTGAGAAACTTATTGTAGCGGATCAGATAAAACGTAAAGTGTCTTCAGAAGTAAAAGATCATTTTATTGACATCTGGTCTGAGTTGATTTCACCAATTGATTTAGTTGAAAAACTAGATGATTATGATACCTTGAAGTCAACTTTCAACAATAAACAACCGCGTAAAGAAGGGTCTTACGACAAACGAAAACTCTTTAAAGATGGTCCAGTTGCTACAAGTCAACGAAAAGAAAAAAACTCTACGGTATCACACATAATGAAAAAGGTGAAACCAAAATGCTTCAGCTGTAATAATTTTGGACACATCTCAAGGGACTGTCCGCTGCCCAAACCAGTAGTAGTAGTAACATGCCGAAAATGTAATAAAACAGGTCATAAAGCTAAAAATTGTGTTACTAAAGCTGAAAATAATCATTCAAATGATAAAAATTATTCTGTTTAGCAAGTTGGTTGGCGAAAATTAGAAGAGAGCAATTCATATTTGAAGAAAGCAAAACTGAATAATTCTGAAGAAAGTACAGGCTTTAATTTATACGGGGAGTTCTTGTTGTCTCTTAAGGACTTCAGTTGCTCAGAAACTTAAAGTGAAACCAGAACCTGCTATGAATGAATTGTACGGTTTTGGAAATCAAAGGGTGCCTGCAGTGACCTCTATAGGAATGATTAAAGCCAATATTGAAGTTGATAATGTAAAAGGACAAGGCATAAATATATACCTTGTACCTGATAATGCACAGCCAGTTGATCTAATTATCAGATGGACATGGCTTGATCTACCTCATATCGCTTATGTCAGAATAGGAAAAAGATTTCACTTTGGGTATAGGGAAGATGAACTATTTAGTAATCTCCAAATTGATGAAAAAATAAATCGAGTCTGCCTTAAAGCTCTTGAGGAAAATGAATTAGAGAAAAATACAATCAGTCTTGTCAGTTCTCAAACAGATTCTGTAGATAATGGATTAATTATGATAGAAAATCCTTCCGAAGGTATAGGCTATTTATTAGAAATTAAAAATGGCGAAACTTGTATACCAGTGACTAACGTTGGCGATAGAAGTGTTAGGCTCCAAAAAGATCAATGCGTTGAGAGAGCAGAAGAAGTTGAACTATGTTTAAATACTGAAATTTCTAAATTGAGCTCAAACTTAACAAAAACAGAAAATATTAACAACATACAAATTCCTATAAGTTTAAGCCAAGTTAAAATTGGCTTGGATCTCGACAAATCTGATTGGATCACCAGCAAGAGTTATTGCGTTTTTCAAATAAATACAGAGATTGCTTCGCACTGAATATTTCAGAACTCGGGTGCACTGATCTCATAAAAATGGCCCCTAAAGAAGATATATTCGTTCATCAAACTGCAGTAAAGAAAAACAATACAAAAAGTGTTGTTCGAAGTGTAAGAGATGGTGAATTAGGTGAATTTGAAGTTGTTGTTCGAAAAAAGGGGAATAAAGCTACAAATCTGATTGGACTGAATCGCACTTCGGTAAAAAAAAGTCCTTATGCTGCAAATAGAAATCGACACTGTGGCCAACTGTTTTCTAAACACCATTTCATGCCAAGGCAAAGACAGAATGACGAAAGTGATGGTAGTCAGAGCCAAGAGAATGTAGATGATAAGCAGCAACTACAACCTCAAAGGCCCGTACGAAGGCAATTACGTCATCCTTACTTCAGGCAATATTGTAGTTATCTATCCATAGGACTTCCACGAAACGTTGGACGTGATGGAAGTGAAGATGAACAAAATGAAAGAAAAAAACGAAGAAAGAGTTTCAGGAGGTGGAAGAGACAATCACTGGAATCCTAGACGATTTTATCAAAGGTGCTTTAATAGCAAAACCCACTATCATAGGAATGACACTAAATGCAGTCAAAGTAGAATGGAAGGAGAAGCAACTAGTAAAGATACTGAAGCAAATGACGAAGAACAGCAGCCACGCAGTCAAGGCTCTAGATCTTGTCCACTTTACAGATCAAAAATGGGTTGTCAAAAGCCCCACCAAGCTGATTCATGTGCTAAAAACAGATCTTTGGAGGCCATCATTTCCAGAAATACAGAAGATGATGGTAATAACGAGGTTGACAATGAACTTAAAAGGCCCAAGCGAACAGTGCGCAAACCATTGCGCTATAGAGACTTTGTATAGGACTATATATTTGTATAGAATTTTTTTAATTACATTTGATTTTACTTTTTTTCCTACCTATTATTATATTTTTGTTGTTGTTTATTTGTCGTTTTAATGTATGACAAGATTTGGTTCAATTGAGGACAATTGAAAAGTCAGGATGGTCGAATGTAAGCACGATTGTAAATTATTTATTATTATTAGACAAAATATCTATTGAGAAAATGGCAACAGCTAATTTCTGGATGTCGTTCTATTTTATAATTTTAAAAAAAGATATGAGATGATGTACGCTTGAAATGTTTAATGGGTACGATGCAGTAAGTATGTTTGTTATGTTATGTACGTTTACGAATACATTACATGTAGGTTATTAAGATTTATCTTTAAATAAATGTTTGTCTTTTACAACCATTTTACAAGTGATTAATTTAACTACAAAAGGAAGTTAACATGCTGCATTCCTTAAAAAAATGAAGACTGATACAAGTATTGCACATATTTGATATTCAATGTGTTCTTGCAAAGTTCACTGATGTTTCGCCTATGGACTACAATGCGTTTGGTCTCTTGAAAAGAGTTATTTCTAAGTGCAAAATCACCACAACTGATGAACTCTGGAAAGCAGGGAAAGAGGATTGGAAATTTTATGGAAAACCGTATGGGAATTATGATGGAGACAAGTCCAGAAAAAAGGCTATCAGACCAAACATTTAGAAAAACACTCTTTACATTTTAAACATGAATTAAATGGCCCCCAAATCATTCTAAAATGTGTAAACACCCTATGTATAATTGAATTTTAAAATCAAGATAAGCAAAAGTCTCCAAAATCAAAGGTAAAAATATGTTTAAATAAGACAGAAGAAAATAAAAGTGCTTTGTTTTAATGTTATTTTTCTTAAAAAATGCAATTTAATGTATCACAATTATATTAATGATTAAGATACAATAACACAATGAAGAAATATTAAGTTAGAAGTCAAACAAGAAAAATTTGATTTAATTTAGAAGTTTAAAATATAACGCTGATTTTTGTTGTTTGCCTTCTAAATTAATATCTTAATGATATCAATCAAAATTTTTGCACTTGGTGGGGGGGGGGAACATAAAAAAATTCGCAGATTATCAAATTAACATGTTTGTACACAGATTGGCCTTAAAGTCATTCAAATTTGATATGCCAACAAACATAGTAACTGAAAACAAAAAATGCATATTCCAGAATGGAAAGGGCTTATTTCTGATAAATGATAATCAAAACGACATTTTAAGAGTATCCATTTAAAGATGATCTCTTGATCTGCCAATAATCATTGCACTTAAAATCACCAAATAGTACAATTTTTGACACTTTTATAAAAATTAGAAAATAATTATAAAAAAATAAATTTTGCATGCAAGATTAGAAAATTATCATTGTTTTTGCATAAATTCTGAAAAGTTAATAAAAGCTGGTTGGATATGCATACAATTATACACTATATAATATTATACTTATACAGAGGCTGTTCACACATTTTTTTAGACAATGTATATTGTATTCACAAAAATTACATAAAATTTTTGTGTTTTAAATGTTCTATTTGACATCCCTTATTCTGAACTATCTTTCGACACTGCAATTTCCAGGATAATAATGCCTTTTTGAAGTGGCAGAAGAGGTATTCTATCCCATTCCTCCTGAACAGCTTTCCAGTGTCCTGTTAGGGTTTTCGGACAACGTTTGGATAATACAGTTTTTAAAAGTACATTTTTTTGCACTCTCTTTATTTTTAACTTGCCATTATAAGAAAAACCAGTGACAATCATGAATCCCTTAGAAAAACTTTCTTTCGATTCTTTGAACCATGTACTTAAATTTTTTCCTCCCCTTTTATGATAATAAATGGCTCTTTTTTTGTTACAATCATTTAAATACACCCACGCTTCATTTATTGTGACAATTGTTTTCCATTTTTCTTTGGATAAGTGTTTCTCATACAGAATTTTGCAGCGTGTCCTGCGTTGAGCGATACGCTTTGGAAGAAGACGATGCACATTGCATTTTTTCGCTTTCTTAAGATTTAAATCAACGTTTATCATTTTGTTTACAGTGGACACTGAGCATTTTAATGACTTTGCAACTGTCCTTTGACTAGGGAGATTTTCTTTTAATATTAAACAACGTACCTTTGCAATAGTCGAAGATGTCCGTTTTTTTCCTTGGATACTTGTTTGGAATTTTTGTCCCACTTGAGGCTCCAATTTGACATTTTTTTCCTTTCTTGTTGATGATATTACCTATCGATGCTTTAGATATCACAAAACCATGATTCTCAGATCGTTTTTGGATAACGGAGTATGCATATTTCTCTTCGGAAAGAGCGTAAATGTAGCCTTCGAACCACTGCTTTGTTAAATTCGCCATTTTGAATAAAAACAACACTTTCAAGCCACAGATGATAATTTTGACTTTTAAAAACATAGTACAATGGCAATTAATTCTTTTGCAGCAAACAATTTTTTATTACCGCTTACCAAAATTGTCTAAGAAATGTGCAAACAGCCTCTGTAATTACTGAATGAGTATATAATTACGTATGATTATATAATGCTATATAATATTATTACTTACAATTACTGAATGAGTATCAAATATCTATTAAACTGAGCAGCAAAGAATATTCTGTCATTAATATGACGGGATATTGATTTTACATGAACAGTATTCACTGATCTATCTGTATCACATTAAACTATTCAGTAAAATAAATATAAAAGTGATATATTAAAAAAAAAAAAAAAAAAAAAAAAAAAATTCAGGAGCAAAAAATTAAATCATTAATACAATCAAATGAAACTTAATGTGGGAAAAATATTTTTTCTCTGACTATCATGAATGATTTATCAATATGCAAAATCTAAGCATATAATTGTTACTGGCCCATACCAGATTGTTCAATAAGTTCACGGAACGGAAATGAAGAAACCAATTTTTATTTGTAAAAATGACTTTATTTTTCAACGTAGTTTCCCTCTACTTCAATACACTTATTCCAACAGTCTTCTAATTTATGGATCCCTTGACTGTAGCGGCTTTTCGGCAGCTCTGCAAAATACCCCTCCACGGCAGCTATTACCTCTTCATTTGCAGATAATCGTTTTTTTATGGAGATATTATTTGAGGTGTGGGAAGAGCCAGAAGTCGGAGGGAGCTAAATCTGGCAAATAGGCTGGATATTGCAACAATTCGTACTTCAATTCAGTTATTTTAGCAATAGGTTTTTGAGCTGTGTGCGCAGGGGCATTATCTTGGTAGAAAATGATTTTCTTCTTCTGTAATCCGGGTCTTACTTTCATGAATTTTTTCGTCTAATTGATTCAATATGGTTACAATAATAATCCGAATTAATTGTTTTGCCAATTTGAAGGTAATCTATAAGCAAAAATTCCTTTCGCATCCCAAAAAACTGATGCTAATACCTTCTTGACTGGATTTTTGCACACAAACTCGCTTCGGCGCCGAATAGAATCGGGCTCACACCACTCCTTAGCCTCCTGTTTTGATTCAGGAATCATGATGGTAGACCGAAGTCTCATGCATTGTGATAAATCAATGGATAAAGTCGCTTTTATTCTTCTTAAAACGCTCCAAATGTTGCTGGCAAAGTTGCATCCGAATGCGTTTTTGATCCATCGTTAGAGAATGCGGCACCCATTTTGCACAGAGTTTTTGAAACCCAAATTAACACTCAAAATATTGATCACTGTGCCCTATGAAATGCCTAAAGCCTAACCATTGTTTTTGAAGAAGCAGATTCAAGCAACACATTCACCATTTCGGTATGAATTTCCATTGCCTTTAAACCTTTCTTTACAAAGAATTTGATAACTGCACGTTGCTCTATTTTATCCATACCTGAAAAAAGCCATAACACGTTAGATATAAAGGGCGGTTAAACAATGAATAAATTAACAGATCGAAATGAAACTTTTGACGTGTTCCTAAGAAAGAACAACTATGAAAATGGCGTCAAAGTTTTAGGTCTAATATTGACGAAAAGATGGCACTCCGCGAACTTATTAAACAACCTTGTATTATGTGACAATTTGGATAACTTGATTGAATATGTCAGATAAAAAGAATTTAAGTTGCATTCATCAATTGCCATTTTATTTGAAAAACTTGTTATCCAATATTTGGCTTGAAAGAAGACTGAATGTATGCCACACTTCTATGTAGCCCAGAATTACTTTCCTATAACTATTTTTCACTTCCTCATCTAAAATAAGGGTTTTGAAGCCACCATTTTCACTCCTCAATTGCCATTTTGAAAAAGGCAGAGGTTGCTTCAAAGATGGTGTTGAAAGATGAAGCACAGGTTATTAAATATATATTATATATATATATATATATACAGTACTCCTCCCTACTAATAGATAATGAATAAATAAACACACACATGCACCAAATATATATATATATAAATAGAATAAAACAATGTTTGACCAAGTTACAGTTTGAGAAGAAATAAACGTAAACTTACTTTTAACAAAGAAAATGCTGTTGCTTGCCTTGTGTAATCATATATATCCTGTTCTACGTAACTTAACAGAGAATGAAGTTGTTCATCACTTAATTTATGGTAACTAGTATCCCTAACAAGAATTGTCAGCACCTGAAAAATTATATTTTATTACACTAAAAATTCTACACATAATTAAAAAAATGTATAGACACTCTAACATAAGAAATTCGGCATCTTTATTGCATGCAATACAAAACAATGCTCAATGTCATATATATATATATGTATATATAAATATATATTTATTATCACATTACCTTAAAACACATGAGTATCATTTCAAAATTTTCTCCTTGACCCATTCCTGTAGCAGAATATTTATTTATCAGAATGAAAAGAGCATTGACTATATCTTTTGTTACAGTTTTCAGAGATGGCAAAGGAAATTTATATAATGACAACAAGCAACGTAGTGATGTTGAGATTATCTGAAACACATAAAAATTAAGATTTAATAAATAATACAAAATATTAATTAAAAAGAGATTAAAAGCACTTGAGAAATATACATAAGAAGTATATGAGAAACAAAATATAATTAAACAGTGTAAGTCTAACAGGGTATTTTATCTAGATAACTGAGTTCTCTTTTTGTGTAACTAGTGTAATGCATGTTACAAAGTTTTGTTTAGTGTATTTTATCTTAACACAGATAACACCATTAAGGGGGGGACTTAAAAATGGGGCAAGGGGATACATAGATGTACTGCACATTGTCAAACAAAATTTCAATGCGCACAAAGGACACTGATATGTCACCATGCGTATTAAGGGCATTTTTTCATTTTAAAAAAAAGATATTCTTAATATAGATAAGCAATGATTCATATAATAAGTTCTATGTTTGCAAACACCATAAACTAATTTGCAAGTAATAAACATGTATCTAAATTAATTTAATGGTTTTTCAAAAAACATGTACTGTTATCCTTTTAGATAATTTAAATCAATGGAAATATTAAAAGCACATAAATAACTTAAACAACATGTATGTATATAAATGTTTTTTACACTAATAAGTTCCATGTTTGCAAACACCATAACCTAATATGCAAGTAATAAGCATGTATGTAAATTAATTTAATGTCTTTTTTAAAAGTATGGACTGTTATCCTTTTAGATAACTTAAATCAATGGAAATATTAAAAGCACATAAGTAACTTAACAACAGTTTAGTTCTACTCAATGCAGGGGGGGAGGGGAAACAAATAACTGGTAACGTTTTTTCCCCTAAAGGCAAGAACTTGCCTATAACTGCATTGGCCACTCCTAAGGCCAGAAGCAGTGGTAATTTTATTGTAGAGGCACCTAATGCCACTGTTACCTCCTATGAACAGAGAGACAATTTTACATCCATGCCTTCTTCAGGATTCAAACCCGGGCCCTTCGGTATTGCAGTCAGGTTCCCCTAACCACTATACCGTCTGGGCGTCAAATAACTAGTAACTAGGCATTCTATTGTGTTAAGTGTGGGATTAAATATTTTGAAATAAAATAGTTCTCTGTAAATGCTTCAAAAGCAACCCAAATAACAAATTAGGAACTTAGTTCTGAATACTGTTTATTAAAGATCACATTCAATTTACCTGAGAAAAACTATTAATGCTTTGAAAATTCTTAATGAACTGCTGGGGAAAAAATCATTGAAAGGCAACATAAAGTATATAAATACGAAATTTACTCACCTTTATATGATTGGATGTCAAACAGTCTGATAGAAGTGTAACAAAAGGATCCAGCATTTCTAAAACTTCTTTTGTATTCTTATCTATTTTATCCTTCTTCAGACAAAAAGTAAAAAGCTAAAGAAGATACACAAATAACAATAAAAGAATTACATTTATACTGATTTCACACAAACTTTAGACTTGATAAATATGGCTTATTTAAATAAGCTTACCTGTAAGCCAAATTCTACCAGTACATGAGCATTAGTTCTTTTATTTATTTTAGCTGGAGGACCACTTCTTCCAGGTTCTTTAGGAACAAGGAATATATCTGGACGGACGAATTTTGAAGTTTTGGGCATTTCTGGTTTCCTTGAATAAAATATTAGTTATTTTAACAATGCATAAAAGACTTGATGATAAAAATAACATCAGACTTGCTAAAAATCACTCAGATTTGGTACAGTGAAGCTCCCCACAAGGTACCTGATAAACTCAAAAATCAACAAATATTTTAAGAAATTAAGAGAATGTTCCCAACAGAAAGAATTTTTAAATGCTATAAATATAAAAATTTTTTTTTTTTTTTTAAAGAATGAGGAACTAACAATATCTAATTAATACAGTCAAAAGTCGTTAATTCGGACACCCATAATCCGGACCTCAAAGCTAAAATCTTTCTACACATGCGTGTAGGCATTTTACGTGTGCGCGCAAGACATTTACGACTGCACATATGTGTCTGCGCAAGCGCAGAATACGTTTTCGCGTGCGTGTTTAATTTATAATGGATGGTATAAGCTAAAATTATCTAATTATCTATTTCAGTTAATGTTGATGATTGCGTTGTTCCTTAATCTTCGAATTGGATCCGTCTTATTATTTTTTGCAGACTGTAAGAGCAATTTTATAAAAGTAAGCTTGAACTTTCGATTATATCAAATAGAATTTCTGATGCTGGAGCTCCCAAAGGATCTAGAAAACGAAAGTATGTTTCGATGTCCATCAAACAAAAAGCGAATTGCTAAAAAAAATGGATAAAGGCATATCCTTTGTTTATCTAACCGTTCCGAAATCTGTTTATCAATTTCAGGCTGCTCTGCGGGGGGGGGGGGGGGAGGGGGGAACGTTGCGGCGCGCAATGAACTGGAAGCTGTTCTGTCAGCACTATCGTTATCTTCAGGGCAGATGTTTTTATTTTATTCGGCTTATAATTCCTTACTAAATGTAGTATTTAATCTCATTTACTCCGTCTTTGACATGATTTAAATCAAATTCCTCGTCATTATAAATATCACAAATACAAATCAAATAGTTTTCTGGTTGCAATTTTCTAATTTCGGCTATGCGTAAGGTATGCTTTACGCAATCCTGCGTTGAAAGAAATGTTTAATAAAGTAAACAAATAAATATTAAGCTTCTTTTTTTGTAAATTTTGATACCCTTTAGATCATAATTGCTCATTATTTTATAAATTATGGTTTCATATTTTTAATTTTATAATTTCTGCATGCCATCTTGCCAGATTTAAACTGATGATCTATAATCCGGAAAAATCGATAATCCGGAATCGCCGAAGTCCTGACGAGTCCGGATTAAAGACTTTTGACTGTAGCTGAAATAATACAAAAATACTTATACACAATTTTTTATTTTTGTATCTTTTAATATGAAGATAGTACTTTAAAACCAGTTTTGCACAACTCTTAACAACAGAAGCAGATTTTGATTCCTTTGAGAAGCAAATCCTGTAATTTTGTTCATAGCAATAGCCACACAGACTTGTTCTTACCAATAGAAGTTACATATCTTTAAAAACATTAGTATTTCCAATGTGAAATAAAATCACAATAAAAATTACACTAACAAATGTTTTGCATTTCTATGACCAAACTATTCATGAGTCATTTTTGTATGATTTTTGAGAAACATATGAGTATTTACCTTTTTTTACAAACATAAGATGAAAGAGAGGAAATTCTCAAGCCATTCCTTGAAGATCAATAAATTATACATTCAGCAACAAGAGAAGAGAATGCATCAATCTTCGTACTTATTGGCTAATATACAGAAGATGAATTGGAGCATTACTTTTTTAGACACATTTGCTCCTACCATATAGCAGTAGCTCAACATGGTGTCTCATGCAAGAAATTACCTTACTTTAAACCAATCAATGGGAAATAAAAAAATCACACAAAACATCACACTTTTGAGTCAAAATGATGAAATATAAAACCAAGTTACCCCATCCCCCCCTAAAAATGAGAGAAAGAGAAACCCAGAAAATAATAGAAAGTTGGTGGAAATATACTGAATATACTTCAAATCAGGTTGGCAAGAGTATGGCCCAAAACTGAGAATGTTAGAACTTCTGTGAACTAGCTGAAACTATAGTTCATTCAGAAAATTGAGCTGTCTTTCTAAAATTCTCAATCAAATACAATGGCATCTTGGCATATGTCCTATTTGGACATGAACATTTTTGTTCTGCATACAACATTTGTTTGGAACTTAATTTCAGTTTGATGAATCATGGCTGCACACACTACACCTGTTTTACCTCTACCACCTTCACACTACACCTCTTCCAAGACAATGCTACGAGCATCAGTATGCATGCTGCTACAATTTAACAAACAACCTGTGCTATAACACCAACTTTTCAAGTGATTTTAGATTTTTTCCGCAAATGTTTTGTAAATTCATTAACAATGAGTTCTTGGAAAGTTAAAGAGCAGCAAAGAAAGTTGTTAGGATTACCATGAAGGTGAAAAAGAGAGATTTAGAAAAGCATGAAGATGACATGGGTATCTGGGATTTAGTTATTGCATATCATATGTCAAGTATGATGGTGTCTATGACTGAGAAAAACAAGAGTGCTATTAAATTGGCTAATATTGCGAAAGGGTTGAAACTGATTATCAAACAAAGATCAGAGATGTTAGAGTATGTTAAAAAATTACTTTTAATCTCAATAGCAGAAAATATTTATATACAGCATCATGTGCAGTGCTTCATTTATGTAGAGTAAATATTTCCCCCACTGGATTTTTATTTCAGTATTAAACAGTGTTATAATAATAGCAATAGGACTTTTTTTCATAAGAATGGATTAATTACTTCCTTTTATTTCTTACTGAAAATGTTGATATAAGGCCAAGAATCTGGAACAGATTAATGTATATTAGCACTGTATATAATTATGATAATACAAATGAAGAAAATATATTTTTCTACTTATTTTGTTTTATTATTATTTACTTACCTTGTTTCTTTTTCTACTTATCTTATCAAAGAATATACAGTAAAAAATAGAATTAACCAACTTTTCAAGTGATTTTAGATTTTTTCCGCAAATGTTTTGTAAATTCATTAACAATGAGTTCTTGGAAAGTTAAAGAGCAGCAAAGAAAGTTGTTAGGATTACCATGAAGGTGAAAAAGAGAGATTTAGAAAAGCATGAAGATGACATGGGTATCTGGGATTTAGTTATTGCATATCATATGTCAAGTATGATGGTGTCTATGACTGAGAAAAACAAGAGTGCTATTAAATTGGCTAATATTGCGAAAGGGTTGAAACTGATTATCAAACAAAGATCAGAGATGTTAGAGTATGTTAAAAAATTACTTTTAATCTCAATAGCAGAAAATATTTATATACAGCATCATGTGCAGTGCTTCATTTATGTAGAGTAAATATTTCCCCCACTGGATTTTTATTTCAGTATTAAACAGTGTTATAATAATAGCAATAGGACTTTTTTTCATAAGAATGGATTAATTACTTCCTTTTATTTCTTACTGAAAATGTTGATATAAGGCCAAGAATCTGGAACAGATTAATGTATATTAGCACTGTATATAATTATGATAATACAAATGAAGAAAATATATTTTTCTACTTATTTTGTTTTATTATTATTTACTTACCTTGTTTCTTTTTCTACTTATCTTATCAAAGAATATACAGTAAAAAATAGAATTAATATTCTTGTTTCCATTAAATGAAATTCAAAACAATACTTATTTCAACAATGCTGCAAATTACAAATTGCTGAAAAAACAGATATCCTTGTTATTTGGCGCAAAAATTCCACAAGAAAATCAATAAAAAAGATTTTTCAATCATTTTTCAAAAAGCAAAGTTGTTACTGACGCAAGCATCAAATGATATTAAATTCACCGGAGCTTTTCCTTGCTACCTGATCACCCCAAGCATTTGCTGCATATTTAAAAGTTTTCTCTATTAACTTGCCTTTACTCCAAGTCCCATCCACCTGGATATTGTTAAGAATAGATAAATTAGACATCAATACAATATATGTGTGTATTTGTGTGTGTGTGTATATATATTATATATGTATGTATGTACTATACTTATTCACAATGAAAATACAAGGACAGAAACTCAACATATCAGTTCCTCATCCAGAGATCTATCAATAAGAATTAGCAAACCTAAAAGAGATATTTCCAAGCTCTCTGCCAACCAGTTCATTAATGAAAATAACACATCTTTGATCAAATACTTCACCCAGCATCCACACTTAATAATTGAATGGAGTAAAGCCTAAATCATCTCCAAACCCTGGCATTAAATGATCTCAAAATTAGGGAACAGTTAAATCACCACCAAGACATACTGCAATGGAGACCTTTCCTTCAATCTTCCATATATATAGATGCCAATTCTGAATATGCAACCCGGAGGAAACTTATAAAAGATGATGAGCATGATGAAATCATCCATTCTAGCTCCAGTTGAGGAAAGAAGTGGATCATCTGTGAAACCTCCTGTACTTTTATTTATGTGTAAATGTGGTTGGTTGCAGCAAGTCAACCTAGAGTATTTTATCTCATTTTTAACTAGATAAAAAACGTGCAATAATTAATGAAATGAAGTAATTAAAAATCTGTCATTAGTATGAAACTGTTACAAAATACTCTGTTTAAATTACACGACTTTTGTACAAATTTCATTTTTTTATTGTACTTTTATTTATGTTTATATATGGTTTCAGTGTATGGTAGTGGAGTATTTTATCTAATTTTTATCATCAGTAAACTTAAATTTACATAGATCTAAATGTAGATCATCCAGTCTAAATAACTTGGATCATTTTGCAGATTTATGAATAATAAGATAAAAATTTATCAGTAGATCACAGTACAATAACGTTCGAGATCCAGAATAGTCGAGACTTCAGTGATTCCAGAAATTTCCAAATTTTATATCATTACTTTAATTCTAGGCAGATGACATGTAGACATGTCAACATGGCTTCACTTTATTTTATGTCAATTAGAGGAATGTTAACCCCCAAACAGGATTTGTGCCAGAATTCAGCGGCAGCAAAATTTTTAGTTTAAAGAAGCACCAATCAGCAAAAATTAGGAATGGCAAAATCTTTAGAATTTAGGGAGGCACTAAGCAGCATAATTTAGGGGTGGCAAAATTTTTAGAATTTAGGATTCACAGAAATTATATGAAATGTCAAATGCATAAACGTCCAAAACGCATGTCCTCACCATAACCACCCAAGTGCCAAAAATGGGAGTCTGGTCAACAATAATTATTACTGGTAATACAGTGCCAGTTAATGTATTATTATTGGTTATGGTGTGACTTCCTAGCTAGCAGGTGTTTGAAAGTGACATTTATCAAACTCATAGGAAGAAAAATCACATTTATAGCACATATTTTTCCTTTTGTTGAGTATTATATTCTCCTTTACCAGATTTTGAAAGGAGGGGGGGGGAATGTTTTTTAAAAATGATTTTATTAATTTATTTTTTGGCTGGTGGTTTGGAGGTCTGGATATTTGATTATTCTAGAAATTGGACATATGGATTTTAGACTTTGTACTGTATATGGAAGTTACACTGGGGGTAGGAATGGAGAGAAGCACACATCTAAACCCCAAGTGAAGCAAGTAATCTTTCTTTTTAAAAGCTTTACATACCGAATCAAAGATGTTTATTACGAAACTAAAATCTAAATTATGTATACATTAAGTATACATTACACTAAATACATTTAAAAAATTTTAATAATCATTGATTTATTCCAGACGTTTTAGATATGGAAGAGAAAGTACAAGCATTCCCAAAATTTTTTAATACATATCAGAAATGCCCTAAATAGCTTATAAAATACTTATATCAACATGGGAAAAAAAAAAAAAAAACTTTCTGCATTGCATAAAAACTATTTTAAATTCAAAATCTACATACAATTTATCAGAGTTCAAAACTGCAATTTCAAATCCCAAAATAATAAAACTAATTCAATCACAATTTAACCATCATTGCTTCAAAATAAACATCAAACTCTTAATAATAATATTTAATGCAAAGCAAACTAATTTTAAAAATGCAAAAGTGTTATGCATACAATAATCCTTAAAAATTAAATTAAAAAACAGAAAAAGAAAATACTGAATTCAGAAATGATAATTACTTTTTTTGGCTAAGACCTGGTACATTTTCATTAACCACAGCATGAATGAATATCAGATGACCTTTGGGAGACACACCGTTGTTGTCACTCAATCCCAGTGCAATGTGACGAAAGCATTCAGATACTTTTTTCATTGCTTTATAACTATACTTTCTTTCAAGAACCTTTCATAATAATAAAAATAAAAATAATAATAATAAAAACTGAAAAATTACAAACAATTTTTTAATATTTATCAACATATAACAACTAAAAGATATGAAAAAAAAAAAAAAAAGATTACGACTACAAGTAACCCTCTAATTTACATGACATTCAATTTGTACGGTTACAGAACAGCAGCAGAATTCCCTTTATATGGCCTTGAATTTCACCTCAACACAACTGGGCCACACAAATATAAAATTACATTATTATTATTTCTGAACTATTACAATCACCAAATAGGTATTAAAAAAAACAGGCACTTCTATAAAAATTTAAGTAAAAAAAAAAAGCAGAAAGAAAGAACAAGAAAAAAGCTATACAATGCATCACAAAAGTGATTGGCCCCTATAATTTTTTTATTTCTTTAAGTAATGGGAGAAAAGCTTTGAAATAAAGTAATAAAGACTTTTTTTCCTTTGAATAATATTTTCTTAGCTCTCTCTCTTTGCACTAAATAATTAAAAAAAATAAATAAATACAGTACAAAGTCTATAATCTGGACATCCATTATCTGGAATGATCTATAATCCAGACCTCAAAGCCACAAACTTATGCATGCGCATTTTGATGCACGTGTCCGCTACGCATGCGCATAAAGCCAGTAAAGCATTAACCCATGTGCACTTCCAATAGTGAAGAAAGTAACAGAGGACGTTATTGAAAACGAAAAACTTTCGATTGACAAGTTAGTCGGTATTTTCGACACAGCAATTACAGGACTTGAACAGTGAAACTTTGTAACCGAACAAGAAATTATTCATAGGGAGAAAAATGTTTATAGAATTAAAGAGAAAGTATTAGCACAAAAAACGAAGCAACTTAAACAACTTACATTGATAGAAACATTTACTAAAGTAAACAAATAAATATTAAGCTTTTTTTTTTAAAAAATTTTGATACCCTTTAGATTAAAATTGCTCTTTATTTCATAAATTACGGTTTCATATTTTTAATTGTATAATTTCTGCATGGCATCTTACCGGATTTAAATTGATGATCTATAATCTGGAACAACCCCTAATCTGGAATCGCCGAAGTCCCGACGAGTCTGGATTACGGACTTTAATAATGTTCAGGAAAAAAAAAAGACACCATAAAATGAATCAGTCATTTTCATAATTTCTAATTAAAATCATCACCATTAAGTAAAAAAAATGAAATTTTATGGAATAAGTTTGGATAAAGCAGCTAGGCAAAAATCTAAAAATCATTTGCTTTTATAATTTAAATTTTCTTTTCAGAAAATATTCGTTATTTTAATGGTTTCTTGCAATGGCTCGGTCACAAAAAGAGATATCGTCAGAAACCTGCAGATTAGTTATTGATTTGCATCAAAAGAAAGGGAAACCTATTAGAAAAAATTACCTGTTTACTTATTTTAAGTAATTCCACAGTTTTTGATATCATTAAGTGTTATAAGAAAAAGAATTGTACTCAAAACAAAAGAAGACCTGGAACACCATCTAAGCTATCTGATGGAATGAATACTTTATTCTAAGAAATATTAAAAAGAATCCAAGACTGAATGCTCTTAAATTTGTTGCAGAACTTCGTGAATTATATAGAATATGTGTAAATCCAGAAACTGTAAGAAGAGCAATGCGATCTGCAGGATATCATGGGTGAGCAGCAAGACAAAATTTTATGTCAGTTAAAAAAAAAAAAAAACCCGAAAGGTTTCAGATTTTAAATTATGTCCAAATAATTTTTAACCTTTATTTATTAAATATCATGTTCTTTTTTAAACCATAAAACTTAGTTCAACAGCAATGTCGCAAAATAATTTAAAAATGAGCATATCTTTAGAATTACCGATACACAGTTCCGTGCGCTGGAGATAAAAAGTCCTCCCGTCATCCGTAGAGTGCTGCCATTGCTCGCTTTCAAATCCTTGAGTTTGTTAATCAAAAATTCGCTACAGTTTTACAAAACATGAAATCGATAATAAAACAAATTCCAAATTTGGGCTTTCAGATGTCCATATTCACAGTAGGATTACGTCATTCAAAATTGGATGGCTCTAGGTACCGTTGTCTTATCACAATGCGAGAAACATACATACATATATACAGATTCTTCATTATTTAATTTTTTCAAATATAATTCAGGGCAATAGTATTTGGTGGCAACGATTTAAAAAGTGATACAGCCTTTTAAAGTTTCAATGCAAAATCGCAAAATGAAAACAAGAGTCCTTCAGGAAGAAAGCTCCTTTGGACTAGAGGGAAAGAGATGGAAAGAAAAAAAAAAAAAAAAAAAAAAAAAAAAAAAAAAAAAGCAAATTTAACATCTTCAGCTCAGAATGGATGAGTGCTGGTGTGGGAAAAACCTTAAGAAGAATTTCAGAAGCAAAACTTAAGTACCAAGTGTTAAACATGGCGGAGGAGGAGTTATAGTATGAAGACCTATGGCCTATTCTAGTGTTGATCATATAGAGTTTATAGATCGTATTATGGACCAGTATAAGTATCTTCACATCTTGAAGTGAAATTCATCATTGTCAGCACAAAAATTTAATAAACAAAATAGTTTAAAATTTCACCAGGACAAAGATCTAAAGCATACTGCACACAATGTTAGAGGGCGGCTGTTATATGTGTCTAGAAGTAATAAAGGCACCACCCCAATTGGCAGATCTTAATCCTACTCAATATATTTGGCAGGAACTAGAATAAAAAATTCAAAAATAGAGTATATCTTTGTGGCAGCAACTGAAAGAAGTGATTCAAAAGGAGTGGTGTAAAATATGTCCAAAAATATCAACAGGAATAACAAAAATTGCAGAATCAATGGCTAACAAATCAAATGAAGTGATCAAGTATAAAAGTAATCCCACAAGATATTCAGAAGCAAAAACAATGCAAGTTTTTGTCAGTTACTAAAAGTGTTTGATTACTTTTGTGACGATATTTTTCCTTATTAAACAAATGATATTGATTTTTGACTTTAATATTCATCTTTTCAAAAATGCATTAAGTATAAAAAATGTTGAATTTTTATATAATTAAAATAAAAGCCTTTCTTTTTGGTTTAATTCATTTTAGTTTTTATGTTTATTAAAGAGTACAATAATTCAAAGTGTCCGATTATTTTTGTGAGCCACTGTATTTACAAGATACATCATATTTGTAAACATAAAGATGGAAAAAAAAAAAAAAAAAAAAAAAAGGGGGGGATCAGTCTTCAGCAGAATTGAAAATTTAACTTGGAATACATATTGAAGTGTGTTTCAAGTACCATAAAAACCTGAACTGTAAGATAAGAATGCATAAAAAAAGTGGTTCAATCCCCAAACACACTTTCAGAATTCATTACTTGTGGCAGAGAAACTGTTACTGTGGCCATGGAAACAATAAATAATTTTCAAATTAAATAACATGTAATATATATAAAATAAATATTAAATACTTATCATACTCCTACAGTGGTATCGTGTTTAATGAATTATACTTAGGCCTTGAAATTCATAGCCCAAGGGGAAAAAAAAAGCTTTCTCAAATGGAACAATCATTTCACTACAAATAATTTATGCAAATAGGATGATCATTTTGATACAGAGATGCAATGATTTTGATGCACGTTAATTCAGAATCAACAAGAAGTGGTTCTTGTTATTTTTGGCAGTTTTTATTATTAATATTAATAATAATAATTAAAAAATAAGAACTATGTAAAGATCTGCAGGAGAATATGCTATGGTATAGAATCTTGTTGAAATATATTTTTATTTAAAAATATGTATGTACATGTCTTTTTATTTTACAAAAAATAAACAATACTGTTTTGTATAAACTAAAAAACCTCAGTGGCACAACAGCCCTGGAGAGTCACAGCCTACAGTACTCTGAAATCTGCTTTCTTGACCTTGGGCCCCGAAGTGCATCAGCACTTGCTCTGGGCAAGTGGACAGCTTGTCGCAGGAAGCCCCCAAGTATTTAGTCCCCAAGCAAACTTGGTACTCATTTTATCGAACCACTCAAGGAATGAAAGGCTGAGTCAACCTTGCCCAGCGCGGGGGATCGAACCCCAGACCTGTAGCGCAGCTGCGCAATGCGCTAGCCACTTCGCCACCATGCTGTCATACTGTTTTTATATGGGTTTGTGAAATTTATTACATGTGTATTTATTTTCAGTGTGAATTGTGGACTCAAATTGACCAATTTCAATTTATATAGCAGAGTTAGAAAACCAATGTAAAGTGAGCATTACCTGCTCTTTTTAAAGGCAAGGTACTTCTTACATATTCTATTAAACAAAATATAGTTTATAGACAATTTTCACTAATATATGAAAAATATGCTAATATATATATTTATATTTTTCGTGAAAACAATTTTTTGTTCTATATAAGCAAGAAACTGTTGTCAGTGTATGTGTGTATCATCATTTCTTGTTCTGCAGAACAATAATAGCTGGAAAAACTAATCACTAACATCCAGCATCTCATAAGAATTATTTTGAGTAGGCTAACACTGGGTTTTTTGGTTCTTGGAGTAATCTGTGACATTTCTAAATTCTGCCACCTGGTGTGACCATACCGGTTTCACCAATTATGGTGCTCAATCTGATTCTGAGACTATTATTAACATAGATTTCATGTATGTGAGATAGCAGATATTCTTGCCATGGCATCACATGTTCATAAAATACATCAAATGCCATCCTCTCATTGAGGAAAAAATTCAGTGAAAAACTGGAGTACTAAATATCTTACAAAATGATACACATAAAAAATTTGATATTACTTATTCAATATTAGATGATATTATCAGATTTAGTTGATAACCGAATTTGAAAAATTTTGCTTCTCTTGCCCCAGAAACCTAGGCTCAAACCCATTTCCATTAATGTCCAAAGGCTGAAGAACATTCAAATCACCATTTTCTGCTTCAAAAGTTAAGATGCTTTTTATGAATTCAAGGAATTTTTCATTTTAAACTTAACTTTAAGGATTTTATGCTACATTTTGTCAATATCTATGTTGAAACGCTGCTCTAATATTAGATTTTATAGAAAAGAACATTTCTGAGATTTTCAGCTATTCTGTTGACAACTTTTAACAAGTTTAATGAATTTGTATTACAATGTTTTGCCTACTACTAAAATTAAATTGAACATCTTCAATAAAAATGAATCAAAATATCATAAAAGACACAGTGAATCAAAACTAACCTCTTTTAGGGGTGCAATGAGTTCTAATAGTAGATTTTCAGACACATATTTACTCAAAATTTGAAATATTGAATAACTTTTGAAACTTCGAGCTTCTTTTAGTTTTCTTGTAATTTTGGCTACTTCTTTTTCTTCTGCTACATCACTAAATAATTCACTGATGCAAATCTACAAGGGAAAAAATTTACAAGTATGTATTAACAATGAAAAAAAATTTGTAGGGATATCATGATCCATTATTAATCCAATATAGAGTATCTAAATAATTTCATTATTAAATGCTAGATTGTCTAAGGACTAAAAATATAGGTTATTAGAAAACTTTACAAATTTTTAACTCATGTTCTACATTTTTCACTTAAAGTACAGAGTGAACAAAAAGCAATTTTTTAAAAATTTGATCTTTTTTTTTAAAAAATATTTTCTATGAAATAAGATAGAAATGTGAAATTTTATCAATATGTAATCTTATTATTTTTTTAGCATGCAAGACATGGCACCAAGGGATAATTTGTGAAATATGGCATCAATAAATCGCAATTGGTATTGCATTGGTGACCCAGGACATGATGACTGCTCTTCTACTGCCTCTCCTACACAAACAATTGCATCACAGCAGAGTAGCCTGCACAGTCAGGCCCAACTAGACAACTGCATCACAGTAGAGGTGACTAGGTGCTCACGATCCATAACCTAATGGTGACATACATGCCAAAAGACTAGGGTCTCTAAACTATGCCCATGGGCTCAAAATGAGTTTGCTTGCACCACTATGCAGGCTGTCAAAATATCACATATATCAAATTAAAATGCTGCTGAGATAAGGCTATATGGCACTGTGGTTGCCATATAGGAAAGATATCACAAAAACCACACACATGAAGACAGATGTTTTTGACTCGATTAGCTTAAGGATCAAGTTATGGCACCAAAATATGCAAGTTCTCAACCCAGTACTGCAGCATTAGCTACAAGAACAGTGACCTTTGCAGGCACCTTCTATTGGCAAACATAACCGTTAATATCTAATAGAGTACAAGGAGCAAATAGTTCACAATATCAATAATAGATGGAGCCAACATACTGGCAAGGCCTAAAAATAACTTGTGGCAACAACAACACCATTGCACAGCCATTAATGGCACCTTAAAAGTTTGTATACATGATATTCTCCAGATATTAAGCGCATCAGGAATTAAGTATGAAAAATTTTTAAACTGGGAACATTAATGACCATCCAAGTTGTGGCAAGCTTACTGTGAGTGGTTAGATTTTTGACTGTGTTCGTGAATCAAACAGAATAACATATCAATGACTTAACCCTATTTGTTACCAATATTCAATACTCTGAAGGCCAGAATAATAGATACATGGTTCATACACATTTCTGCACATGGAAATTAAGGACTTTTAAGGACCATTAATGAAAAAAAAAAAAGGATCTATGAGCAAATGGGAACTGAATAAATTCAATTGAAGATATTATCTATGCCTGAATTTCACTTTTGTAATAGCATCCTAAAAATAAAATAGATCACTAAGTAGTATGCATTATTACTAAACATGAATTAATTAACATAATTGTTATAAGTTTGAGAATAAAATAAACTTTATGCAATTCATCAAGTAGCATTAAATATTTTACACTTATAATAGTCATATTTGAAAGAAGATAAGTGACATTTACCGGAATTTCCGGAAGAAACGCCGCAGCGTTTACGTGTTTAAAACTTAAATTTTGAGCGGGACTGGTGCTGTTCCCACACAAAAGACCACTCAGTTGCTTTTTGCGAACGTTATTTTGTTTACATTCTTTCCCTTGAATGGACCTACATGCCTTATTCACCCTAAACTGGATCTCAGAACAATAACATTCTTCCCCCTTTCAAATCAGCATTCTCATCAGTTTGAATAGTCTCTCTCCTCTGCCATTCGATGAATCTTCAAGGACCCATCCTCTGCCCACCCCTGCCTTTTCTGCAATTTTTTTCAAAGGCGGACAGGACTCCACCTGCCTCGCAATAATGAACTCTGACGTATTTCCCCTTCAGCATGAATCGATTTTTCTTGGCATTCTGCCAGATACAGATCCCATCACTTTGGGTACAAGCACTTGTTGGATAGTTTTCAAGTAAGAAGGGAGCAGAAAAATTTTGAAAATGGCACCTAAACGGTACAGAAGCTATACTGCTGGTTTTAAGCTTAATGTAATTTCATGTGCTGAACAAATTAGAAATAGAGCAGCAGCTCGAGAGTTTGAAATGGACGAGAGATGCATTCAAGTGGTTGGAGAACTGAAAAAGAAGAACTTAAAAATATGCCACAACAGAAACGAGCAAAAAAAGTGGTATCGTAAGGTGGCCAAATCTAGAGGACGACCTTGCAAACTGGATAAAGGAGCAACGAAAAAAGGAATGGCAATTTCAACTGTGAAAATTCGCTTACAAGCAAAATTTATAGCAAAGCAAATGAACATAAATGATTTCAAAGGATTGCCTTGCTGGTGTAGCAGATTTATGAAAAGAAAAAATATTTCTGTGCGTACTAGAACAACAGTCGGGCAACAATTACCAATGGACTGGCAGGATAAAAAGGCATCTTTTCTAAAATATGTGACACGATATTATTGACCCCCCAAAGAAAACTTCTTTGGTCACAGATAATAAATATGGATGAAATGCTGTTAGTTTTCGACTCTCCTGCAAACAGAACTGTTGATGAAATTGGTGCAAAAACTGTATCTTTGCTTACGACGGGGCATGAAAGAACGTCATTTACATGTGTGTTAGCTTGTGCTGCAAACGGTGACAAGCTAAAGCCGATGATAATTTTTAAACGGAAACCTATTCCGAAGGGAGATTTTCCTAATGACGTAATTATTTGTGCAAACGAGAATGGCTGGATGTGTGAAACAATCATGCATGAGTGGCTACAAAAAGTTTGGCAGTGTCGTAAGGGATCTTTTTTCCAACCAAAAGGGTTATTGATAATGGATTCCCATGCATGCTCATTTACTTGAGTCATTGAAAACCAGATGTCAAAAGCTGTGTACGACCTGTAGCAATAATTCCTGGTGGTTTGACAAAAATCTTACAATTGTTCATTGTTAGATTTGTCAGGTAATAAATCCTTCAAAGCTGAAGTCCGAAAGCGGTGGGAGTGTTGGATGAGTGAAGGATTGCATACGTATACCAAAAGCAGTAAAATTTGTAGAGCATCTTATGAAAAAGTTGCAAAGTGGGTAGGAAGCGCGTGGAAATTGGTAAAAACATCGTCAATAATAGCAGGGTTCAAAGAAGCTGAAATTATATCTTTAGATAAAGAGACTGTAAACCAAGAGGATGAATGTGACGATCTGAAAGACTTAAATCAGGATTTACTAAATCTTTTTAATTCAGATAGTGAAGAATCAGATTTTGAAGGCTTTATATGATGTATAGTTTGCTGTAATTCCTTTTGTAAGTAAAATTTCAAATTTCCTTTTGTAATCCAAATTTAATATTTCGTTGTTGCAACATTTTTTATAATATAGTCTGAGTATTACAAATATGGACTTCTTTAGTGGGTAAACATAAGTATATTCGTGAACGTAAATATATTTTCAACATTTCTTTCATTCAATTTATTTTTGAGATATGGTTTCATTTCACGCATTTTTCTTAACTGATATGACATATATCAGGACATAGGTTGAGATTTTGCATATATATGGCCCACGACGATGTCACACGCAATTTAATCTATTGCAGCGTTTACGCTGATGTGGCGTTTCTGTGTAATTTTAATTGTTTTCCCGCCATTTTTCTCGACTGCGGCGTTTACGCTCATGCGGCCTTTCTTCCGGAAATTACGGTGCATTTTACTAACAGTTAGCTTTATGTTGATTTTTTTTTATGTCTCATTTTGTCACATACTTGGTCAGTCTAAAGGTTTAGTAAATAAGCAGGCACATTTTATGTTAAACTGCATAAGCTAAAATGAGAAGTAAGATCATAATCAGCATGATTCATAACAAAAGACTGAATGTTGTCACCGCTGCAACTTGTCTAGAGAGAGACCTGTTGACTAGAACAAACCTGAAAGGCCTGATGTAGGGTCGGGAAGTGTTGAAAGTTAGTCAGGCTCTGTTTGATGCAGTTAGTGTCATAGCTTTGTGTACAGTTGCAGGGGTAGTAACACAGTTAAGGTTCCAATAAGCCATTAAAGCACCAGAGGTGAAAAGTTGTTTTGTATTATTTATTTAAGTCTCAGTAGATGCATAGAATATGTTTTACTTGAATTTTTACATTTTTATATTTTATCTTGTGACCACAGTGAATATTAATGAAAGGCAATAACTCGCTTTAATATGTAGAGATAATTTTTAAGGGTTAAGCAGTTAGTTATAAATAATTAAATTAGGTAGTTTGATAACCTTGTTAAAAAAGCCCTATTAAAATCAAAATCTAATAAAATTTCACAGTTTAAAATTCATGTAATTTATGACACAGATTCTTAAACGATATTAAGATAATTACACATTAAAAGCTACAAAACATTTATGTTTTGTAACAACAACAGTCAACAAAATATTTATCCGCCATTTTAATTTGAAGCCTTTCCAGACATTTTGGCTAGTTTATATCAATTTCCTTCTTTTTTAAGCATTCTAACAATTAGAATTTTGTCTCAATATGCAAACCAATGCTCTCCCTAGTTTCTGCGTGCTTTATCTCCTAACTTGTCAACCTCTCCATAATATACCTATGAGAGTTTAATTGATCTGGTAAAAGTTAAACAGTCCCAAACCCCCGGCAGACATAAAGCATATTATCGCTATGTCTAAAATTAACTACAATATCAGACAAAGGTTTAAATAAGTCTCTTATTTAAAAAGAATTTAGGACATAAAGGCATATTCTGATGCTAACAAAATCAGTTACAGCTCACGGCGACGTAATTAAACAAGAACAGTCAAATTCAAACTAATAATGTGGACTAGTGGTCAAAGATTATACAATTTAATTTTAATTTAATCTGGCTCAATAACTCTATCATATGAGGAAATAAAAATGGGAAATTACAGTAAAGGTTGAAATCATAAACAATTGGGTAATTTACATAATAATAACTGCACATATCTTCGAAGAATAATTTCCTTTACGTATTCAGTTTCTTTCTTCAACATG